CCTGGCAGCAAGGCTCCGGTGGCCTTCGGCATGGGCTATCCGGCTATCCCTGACTGCTTTCCCTCTGTCAAGTTCGCGAGAGCCCTAGCCATTGCCCAGTTTGGCGAGGGTGTGGTTTTGAAAAGCTCACGTTGGAAGACACACTGGTCATGGCCCACCTCCCACATGGCGGTTATGAACGCCTGCTTGCCCTGATGATTTCCAAGCAAACAAGCGACCCCAATGCAAATGCACGTCAAAAGAATAAGACGGCTTATCAAGGGCATGCTGGCTCTAACTTTGAACTACTTCATGAAACCCAGAACAAACAGTCACAAAGTTTGCTCTTATACTTGTGACCCTGGCATGCTACACTAAAAACACACACCATGCAAACAAGATTGCTACTCTCACGCGCGAACACAAACACACAACCAAAAGTGTCAAATGACTCGCCAATAGTACAATGGAGCTTGATGAAAATTGCAACCAGCCCTCGCCACCACATCCCTGACTCGAGCTTCCCTCCCCAAAATGCTCGAGCGATGGCTGTGATTTCAGAATGGTCCAGTGCAGCTATTGGCTTTGTGTTGGTTGGTTCAAGATTGGTTTCGAAGGCCCTACCCCTTCCTTCCCTTTCCTTCGGCCGTCGCCTGGGGTTCACGTGATGCAGGAAGAGCTGCTGCACCAGGCGCCGTAGGCAGCCCGTGCGCACGGCGAATTGAGCCGGCAGCAGCTGGCCCTCCGAGAGCCCCAGGTTCCGGGTGTCCACCAGGGGCACCGACTCCAAGTCCTGGTGAGCGCCAAGCGTGGCTATGCTGTCTCTATGTGTTCTATGCGTCTATTGGTCAAAACACACATTTTTGCGAAAGAAAGCGCCTCTGGAAAGTTCGACATGGCCACGTGAGGCCTGTGTGCGGAGTATCTGGCAATGTGCTAGCGCTCGGTCCTGCTGGGGAAGCATGGCTGCAAGGAAGCGGCACAAAGCAAAAGCTGAAAAGGAGCCTTCCAGAACAAGCCTTGCCAGAAACAGGCTAATCATGATGCGTTGGGGAAAGGCTGGGGATTCCCATACGACCAACGAGTTGATCTAAGAGTTGCCAAGGCATCTGCATTGAGAAACACCTCCACAGTAAAGTCCCATGTCATAGTACCGAGGCCCTGGCCCAACTCAAGCCTAAACAGCTGCGTGGATGTGGCTTCGGGCCCTTGCCAACAAAGAGTTGACCTTTTGAGTCCATGGAACGTTGACCAAAACTGGAAAACTGGAAATACGTCAAAAGGTCGCCTTGAGTTTGGTTCAAACGCCTTGGCGCCCGATCCTCAAGTATCACATCTTGAAACTTGCCGACGCCCACTCTTGTACACAGAGGCTAACATTGAGTCTGTACCAAAGCTAGCCAGGCCAGGTTTGCCACGCCATACTGTCTGGCATGCATCTAACACCAGGGGGGATCTTCGATTTATATACTCATAAGTTGGCATACAGCATGCATTCCTCATCCAACAAGCAAAAATAGATCGCCTTGGCATCCCCGTAGGGGATTTGACAAATTGAGACCTGCGCATCTGTCATCAGCATACGTCATGAGCCTCGTTGTTCAGACACTCTCGGCGGCCATGGCGTGATCTCGATCAGTCTGTCGATCGAACAGATCCAAGCCTCGCCGCGCGGCGCAGAAAGCCCCGGGCATTGGCACCACCTGGTGCCGCCGAAGGCCTCGACGGGAAGATGGGCTCCGTTCTTGTTTTGGGGCAAGGCTAACCAGTTCGCGTTTTGGGGCAACCCACACCTGACTTTCATTCTACCCTGACACCGAGGGAGCCAAGACATTTGGAAGCCTTTTTGAGGGATGAGTGTTTTCGAGATTTCAGGCTGAAAACGTGATTTCCGCAAACCGCTATGTCTCCTAGTGTGTGTAGGCAGCGCAACGGGCAAGGCAAATGTTGACTGACCCTCCCAACCCTCGCCGCGGCACATAGAAAGCCAGGCTGCCAACCTAAATATGAATTACCTCCTTGGTTTTACTTTCTCGCATTTATCAGGCCATCTCCGTGAAAAATACATTTGCAGTGGCCACGTCAAATACCAATAGACATGCACTGCATATTTGCATGCGTTGCTGGCCCAACTCCGACATCATTCAGTTCAGGTTCTGTTCTTCTTACATGATCCCGGCGAACTGTCAACCAACACTTCAACACAAATTCATCATGCTGTCAACGTTGACAAACCAACGCAACAATGCACAATGTCTGTAACAGCGCGTTTTTCTGTATATGTGCGTTCTTCGATGGGTCACTTGAAATGTTGGAGCACTCCCAAACCACATCAGGCATGACCAATACACACCAGAATGACTCAGTGCGGCAAGTAAGAAACTAGTGAGCCAACCGGCAAAGGACCCCATCCCTGGCAGGGGTGGCTCCTGGGATCCCGGCTATCCATGAGTTCCTTGTGGGTGAAGCTTCGCGGGTGCAGCAGCTTCAGCCAAAGGAACATGCCGGCCTGCAAGGCCACGTGCAAGGTCGAGACACAAACCGAGCCGTTCTTGGGCAATAAATTTGGTCAAACCGTCCGAACGCACAAAGTCGCAAATTTGGCCCATCAAAAGTCGTACGACCTGTACGCAATGAGATTTAAGGACTTGAAGACTCCAGCTTGGCCCTTCCCATGGGCTCCGAGACGCCTGCGGGGAGCTCCAGGTGCACAGCCCAGCCAGGTGAGCCTCCGCACCGTGTTCTACTTCATACCACGCCCAACGTATGCCTGAGGTGTGGTTTGTAAATTGTGTGTGGGTGTGTGCATGTGTTCTCTATTTTTGCACCAGTCCGGCCTACCAAACAGTCAAGCAAAACCAGAAACAACTAACGGCCAGGCATACAACCTGTGAAGCAGGAGCATTCGATGGCAAAGTACACCACACAGGGTTGGGTGCCGCTGCTTCCGAGCAATCTGTGCCTCTCTTGGGTTTTATAGGCCGAGTCCCCACGCTTGTTCCTGAAATCTCACTACGTGGTTGTTCCTGCTGTATTGCGAACATGCTGCAAGACTCAACCTCCCATGCGAGATGCACAGCATCAAGACTGGCACAGCGTACTTTGCAAGAGCCATGCAAAAAAATCACCGTGCCACGCTGTCCCGCTCTCCTCCCATCCCCACCTCGCAGGCGCGGAGAAGGGCCCGGCACTTCCGGCGCAGGCCCAGCTGCAGGCGAACCATCTGCGCCTCCCATCAAAAAGCCACACAGCTTGGTACCGTAAGACTCTCAAGCAAAGCTGCCAAGGAGACGAGCGCTCCCGCATGCCAGGGACAAGGCATCCGACTCGTGTGATCAACTTGCAGGACAACCTGAAACTAGAAAGTGACAACAGGGCTTTCCAGTGGCTGTCACCTGACAGGGGAGCGTGCTGTACCCTGCATCAGATTGCCACACGCGTGCCCGGACATGCCCAAGATAGAAAGAAATCCAGACATCAGGAAGTCATGGGCATTAGTCCGTCCAGGACTTCAGACATAGAAGCAAGCAATGCCTAGAGTACTGAACATTCGATCTGCAAACATGTTGGTCGGAAGGCCACATTGCAAGTTCATGTCGGTGTTGGTTTTGGACTTTGGATCAGGCCACAATGCAACGGCTTTCAATCACAATTCACTGGTTTTCAACGCCCTTGGACCGTGAGAGCCGGGAAGCTACAGCTTGAGAGGAGCCGGGTTTATCCAAGCTGTACACTTCTCTCTTTGATTCCTTTCAGGTCCTTTCCGGCCTTGAGACCTTCGGTGCCCCAGTGCGCCAGCAGCTTGCCCAGGCAAACCATGGCCAGCGAGCTCCCGTGCTGACTGGACACGTAGCACAGCTTCTCGTAGGCCTCGAAAAAAGGACTCCCATGTCTGAATTTTCCAAATTAGGCGAATGACCCCTGCTATCAGTGGCTGATCGACTTGCAACCTGTCCACAAAGCTCGTCTCCCGCCCAGGTGAACTGACGTGACTGCTTTTGTGTGGTCATGGTAAACGTGAGGTCAATGTAAAATCAAGCCGCTATGTCAAAATCAGAATGAGCCAAGGATGCTCCTCTGAGAACTGAGCATTGACTGGCCTGAGGCCAAAGTAAAAATTTACCAAAAGAAGCTATCCGCACATCACCAGGAAGCCCAACGAAAGCGGCCCTCCGGCCTCTACGAAGTGCTTGGGGCCGGTGACCCAGCCCAGGCGGAAGCCCGGGCAAAGCATCTTGGCGAAGGAGTCCAGGCGCAGGACGATGCCTCGAAAACCAAACAGCCGGGCGGCTCAATGCAGAAGACAGAAGTATTCTTGATCTGCCATTCTGTTGGCTCTTGATCTGAAGTCGTCCGCCCTTGGGAACTTTGCCGGCAGTTCTGGGGGACGTTGTGTGATGCAAACCTCGCAATCAACTTTACACTCCAAGATGCCCTTCGCGGGGGGGAAAAAACAAGCTGGCATATATCCGTTCAAGCCGAAGTCTAGAATGAACCAGGGAACCGTGAAGGACAAAGCATTGGAACTCTTGGATGGTCACTGTTGCATCCACGTAACTGTGGCAAAAGGTGGTGAACCTTGCCTTTCGTTTTCTTGCCTCAAACCGCCAAACCCCGCCAAGCAATCCCCTTTGAACTTGGGGTACCAACCGAGACATTTGGTGTACAAGGGATATAGAATACGTTTGTGGGTCATGTACCGAGGAGCACGTAGCACTGTCCCTTGAAACTGCAAAGGCGAGGGAACTGGCGACTTTGACATCTTCTTCGACCGTCCATTAATGCGTCCAGCTCTGCTATTTGTATATGTCAAATCGCCTCACACACTTCCGAAAGAAGTGTTTGTTTTGATTGGAATGCTCGCGGCAGTCTCAAAACTGCTCTGATACCAGTTCACTGCATGTCCAAGTGATTCCTTGTTTGCGCTTTTGTGTGCACTCGGTTGTGCACAGGTTTGCTCAAATGGTCAAACCATGCTCAAAAGCCAGCAGGTGGGTACTTTCTGCTACGGTGGATCGTTCAGGCTGAAAACCCTTTTTGCATGCCAAGGACTTCTCTGCCTACAATGCAAGACTGCTCATATCGGCTGAGTCTTTGACAAGTGAGATCTCCATCGAGGGGGTCTCGACCCATTTGCCATTTTCTCTTTCTATTCTGGAGCATCCCAATACAGGAAACAACGATCATAGGTTGTCTTTAAGCCAAAGGGAACCTGGGCACCGTTGAATGAGTCGAACAGAGCCGCAAGGCGCCTTGACGGTCGATGGACACAAAGCTGATGCCCAGCTCCAGGCCCGCTACTCCGCGTACATCCTCGTCGCCCAGCGCATCGTGGGAGTTGTGCTGCTGGTAGAAGTACCTGGCCCCGATCCCTCCCCTGCCAAAATAAAGACCACACTGGGTTGGAATGGCAACCAAAACTCCAACATCTGGCTTTTAGGCGAATCGCGGACGGCCAAGGAAGAGGATCTGCTGGGCACTATTTGTGCACATATCACTTGAGGTCTCAATACAGAGAGTGTCAATGCCGCAAGGGTCGAAAGCAAGCCAAGCAAAATATCCTAAGGGCCATCCGGTATCTGGTGGAGCTGATTGAGGAGTGGATTTCAGGCTGGAACCGCTCAAGATTATTCTCGGGATAAAAACAACTCCCGGAAACTCCGCGGTTGAGTTGACCATGAGGCCACCCATCCTCAACAAAAACAAGCGCTGCTTTGTCACTGCCTGGCAGAACAGTTGCATGGTTCTCTGCCCAGTGAAGTGCATGGCAGCCCACACTTTGTCTTGCCCAGGAACGCATCATCCTCGATGATGGAGATGCCTTTGGCTGCACCTCGGGTGCAACTTTCTGAAAGCAGCCGAGAAGCCCTAAGGATGGGCCATGTGGCTTAAAAAGCCGCAAAAAGAAACACTCTGCCGCGGGAAAGCAACCTTGCACGCCCCCATTTGGGGCTGAAACAATCCCAAGAGACAAGGCATTGTCATGTATGCGCTGCGAGGCATAGGCCGAAGTGCCACACACATCGCACTAAGCTCGTTGTCAAAGAGTAAGGCTCTAGATCCGAAATTCTAAGACGCAATTCAAAACATGCCTAACTTCTTTCAGTCTGCTTTCAGAGCTGGCCACATCCGAGGAGCAAATGTCGTAGATGGCATGGTACCGCTCTGCGGGCAGGCGTGTGCCCAGTGGATTGTGACCCACCTCGGGTGCAACTACAGGATAGACGCATGCATATCCAGCTACGTCTTCGCTGTGGAAAAAGTTCGATCCACGGGCCCGCAAACCAGGGCCCTCAGGGATGCGATGCAAGAAACGCCTGGACAACACACACAGACACACTGCATTGTCCATTGCAGGCTCTTGTGCAGCTTGGCCACCGGAATCGTGTACCTGGGCGGGCGCACGTGTACGCTCAATGCACGCCCAATCCAATGGCTTGCCAAGAACTGCTGGTACAGGCCCGAGTATGACTCAATACGCAGAGTTTTTGCAGTTCTCTGTGTGCGTGCGTGCGTCAGTCCTACAATGGACCAATCGTTATGTATGTGTGTATATGTGTATATATATATATATGTATCCCGACGGGTGCACTTGCAGGCGCGCTCTCGCCTGGGCGCCGCGCATTTTTCATCCATCCAGCCTTGCTTTATTGGCCCTTTTTCAGGGCTGAGACCAGCGCGCAGCCAGAAGTGAGTGGTTCTTACCATTTGCCTGGCATGTGTGCGGTGCTGAGCGAGCGAGTGCACGTGTGCTTTCCATGTGCCAAGCATGGGCACAGTGCTGAGATGACGCGCGTGAGCGGGTGTGCTTACCATGCGCCAGACATAAGTACATTTGAGCGACACGCGCGCGGGCGGGTGTGCTTACCATGCGCTAGGCATGGGTACAGTGGTGAGATGACGCGCGTGGCCGGGTGTGCTTACCATGTGCCAGGCATGGGTACAGTGCTGAGATGACGCGCGTGAGCGGGTGTGCTTACCATGCGCCAGACATGAGTACATTTGAGCGACATGCGCGTGGGCGGGTGCGCTTACCATGTGCCACGCATCGGTACAGTGCTGAGATGACGCGCGTGGGCGGGTGTGCTTACCATGCGCCAGACATAAGTACACTTGAGCGACATGCGCGTGGGAGGGTGTGCTTACCATGTGCCAGCACTTCAGCAGAGCATCTGCGCAACCTTGACAAAAGAACGAGTTCCAACCTGCCACATAACTCAGCCCAACATCGAATCATGTCCACATGAATGATATGGCCCCTACCATATGACAGGCCCCTGCAGAATCACAGGCCATGTAATTGCCATGAAAAGACGAACGAAAAATGTACGCGAAAGTCGTCTCCCTGAGGACTGTTGGCACTTCCTGAAATCACTGGTAAAACACGTGCGAAAGCCCGTTAGCATATACATGTATATGCATATGTACACATACCAAGATCTGTCTTTTCTTGCAGAATATGTGACACGCTTGGACCTGTTGTACATTAAATCAACACAGGCCATTAAGCTGCTGAACCCTCATTGCACGATAGCAAGCAAGCAGGCAAGCATAGCATTGCACGATTGCAAGCCAGCAAAACCGCATGGCAAAGCACAGGTGCCAAACCCGGCGAATGTCTTTACCTGCCGCTTCCGTCCGGGGCACAGCGCCTTGGCCGCCGGCGCGGCCATCAACGCCTCCGGCAGCAGGCCCTCGCAATCGCAGCGCAGCGGCACCGCGTTCCTCGAGGCCGGGGCTGTCTACCACGGGAGGCCCTCCATGGGTTGACAAGGAACCGCAAGGAGCTTTCAACACAAACAGGTCCAAGAACAGGTAATTGCCCGCAAGAAGACATTTGTCCTCTTGACGATCCAGGCTGTGCAAAAAATACTCTTGGTTTGGCAGGCTATAGCCGCAGGTGTTATCGGAATTTGCGGAACAGTCGGACCTTCGGAGTGCAGAGTCTTTCGGCCGCGCTCGAAAAAAAACGTGAGGTTTCGTCGTGCGAACCAAGTGACACATGCTTGAACCAGCAAGTGACAAGTTCTGAACTACTAGGGTCTAAGCGTGGCACAGCCCAGCTGCCATGCACGCATCCACCATGGCCAGGAAGGTGTACCTCCCAACCGAGGCACAAAGTGAATGTTGCTGCTACGTCAACATGAAACGAAACAATTTTGAGATCTGAATGGATCTTTCCTTGCAGTGCGGCGACTTGACCAAGCCATGAGCAAGGCGCCGTGGAGCCGCCTTGCAGCCCCGGGCACTCCTCCATCAGAATCGTATCCTTGGCGAAAAGCGGAAGCTGCATCCCCCATCCTCAAATCTCGTCCGATCCTGTGGTTGCTGTGCCTTTCCAAAGTCGTTGATTTAGGGTAGGTCCGGCCAAAGAGCGCCCTTGGCGAAACTCTTCCCCCTGGCAATTCGCACCTATCCTCAAATGAGCGCCGGTTAAGTTCCAAGCCTCAACCCACCTCTTCCCCCCCACGGTCCGTAGAGCCGTGATCCAGAAAGACAGCTTGCACCATTCTCCAAGTATGGCGCATGTTGCCACTGTTTCCCAATTGGCATTCTGAGACGGAAAAAAAGAGTGAAATTACATCCAGCAGGGATGGCTCCGAATTGCTCAAATGAGCACAGTTCACATCTGCTGGTCTCGACTGTGCAATTGATAAGCAAGCTGCTGTTCCAGCTTCAGAAGGGCATGTGTCCAACCTCTGCGCAACAGCATGCCAACCTCAGACATTCCCCAAAACTTGCCCACCTGACTCCAAGCTATGAAAGACACTACTCCTGTAAAATGTCTGGCCTGAACTATTTGCTCTGGCTCCCTGGCGTAGTCCAAGTTTTGGGGTTGCAAGCCAGGCGCCCCGGGGTTCAGCAACATGCCCAGCGCCAGGTCTAGCGCCGACATGCTGCCCGCGCTCAACGAGATGGCCCACTGCGGCGCTGCTGGCCGCAACACCTCACGGTCGTCACGCCCAAGGCTCGGGGTGGTGTAATGAAAACCCTGCTCTCTGAACCAGGAACCTCAGAATTCAGGGATAGAAGTCTGGCGGCCCCAACGGTCTCAATTCTAGCCGAATAGATCATGCAAACAATTCCCACCAACAACCGGACAAATTCATGGGAGAGCATCTAGGTGTAGCACCTTCAATGCTCTCAGAACTGTCTGATCCGCTTGGCGGTTGCACAAAGGGCACGCGCTTGAAATGATTGGGTTCACGGGATATCCGCCAACCCCTTTGCAAAAGCCACGTTAGTCTCTGCAAAGTGGTCTTTAGGGGGAGTCTGAGGGGGGGGGGGGGGTCGTAACCTCTGACCCTAACCTCTCACCCTCACCTCTTACCCTAACCTCTAACCCTAACCTCTAACCCCAACCTCTAACGGGAAGATGACCCTAACCCCCTAACCTCTCAACCCTAACCTCTAACCTCGAACCCGAACCTCGAACCTCTAACCTCTAACCCCAACCTGAAAAACCTCTAACCCTAACCTCTAACCCTAACCTCTAACCCTGGCCTCTAACCCTCACCTCTCACCCTAACCTTTAACCCTATCCTCCAACCGTAACTTCGAACCCTAACCCGAACCTCTAAGATGGATGACGATGATGACAGACTACGGGAAGATGACGGAAGACTATGGGAAGCTGACGGAAGACTACGGGAAGCTGACGGAAGACTACGGGTAGCTGACGGGAAGATGACGGAGACTACGGAAGACTACACGAAGATGACGGAAGACTACGGGAAGATGACGGAAACCTGACAGAAGACTACGGGAAGATGACGGAAGACTACGGGAAGATGACGGAAGACTACGGGAAGATGACGGAAGACTACGGGAAGCTGACGGGAAAATGACGGAAGAGTGCGGGAAAATGACGGAAGACTACGGGAAGATGACGGAAGACTACACGAAGATGACGGAAGACTACGGGAAGATGACGGAAGACTACGGGAAGATGATGGAAGACTACGGGAAGCTGACGGGAAGATGACGGAAGAGTGCGGGAAGATGACGGAAGACTACGGGAAGATGACGGAAGACTACACGAAGATGATGGCAGACTACGGGAAGATGACGGGAACCTAACGGAAGACTGAGAATGACGGAAGACCACGAGAAGATGACGGAAGACTACGGGAAGACGACGGAAGACTGCGGGACAAAGAAAGACTATGGGAAGCTGACAATGATGATGATGCTGGATGACGACAATAATGGTGATGCTGATATGAATGATGATGATGATGATAATGATGCTGCTGATGATGATAAGGATGATGATGATGATGATGACGATGATGCTGAGGATGATGACGCTGATGATGATGATGGTGATGATGACGATGATGATGATGATGATGGTGATGGTGATGGATGATGATCATGATGATGATGGTGCCGATGATGATGATGATGATGATGATGGATGATGGTGATAATGGTGATGATGCTGATGCCGATGATGATGATGATGATGACGATGATGATGGTGACGATGATGACGATGATGATGAGGGGGATGATGATGATGATGCCGATGATGACGATGATGACGATTATGCTGATAAATGATGATCATGATGAAGACTGATGATGATGATGCCGATGCTGATGGTGATGCCGGTGATGATGATTCATAATGATGATGATGATGATGATGATGATGATGATGATGGATGGTGGTGATGACGATGATAATGATGATGGTGATGGATGATGATGATGATGATGATGATGATGATAATGATGCCCAACCCTAACCCCTAACCCTAACCTCTAACCCTAACCTCTCACCCTAACCTCTAACCCTAACCCCTAACCCTAACCTCTAACCCTAACCTCTAACCTCTAACCCTAATCTCTAACCCTGACCTTTAACCCTAACCTCTAACCTTAACCTCTAACCTTAACCTCTAACCTTAACCTCTAACCCTGATGACGCCGAAGACGACAATGATGATGCTTGATGATGATGATGCTGGGGAGCGATGATGACGATGATGCTGATGATGCCGATGATGATGATGATGGAGGACGATACTGCTGATGATGATGGTGCTGGGGAGTGATGGTGACGATGATGAGGATGATGATGATGCCAATGATGATGATGATGATGGTGATGATGATGGCGGATGATGCTGATGATGATGATGACGATGATGAGGATGACGATTATGCCGATGAATGATGATGATGATAAAGATAATGATGATGATTGATGATGATGATGCGACGATGAGGATGATGATGCTGATGAAGCATGATGATGAAAATGATGATGATGACGATGATGATGATGAGGATGATCATGATGATGATGATGATGATGATGCTGCCGATGATGATGATGATGATGCTGATGGATGATGATGATAACGATGGTGATGCTGATGCCGATGATGATGATGACGATGATGCTGGTGACGATGATGATGATGGATGATGATGATGATGATGACAACGATGATGATGATGATGCTGATGAATGATCCTTTCCTTTCCATTTCCATTTCCTTTCTTTTTCCTCCATTTATGATTCAAAGTGCCCGGGTCCAGCCGCGGCAGGCTCCGAAATTGATTTTGTAGAAACTTTATCAGCAGTGAGCCCCGAACTACCAAGCTTGCTTTCCATTTAGTGTCCATGCCCTTTCCACGATCCTTTTCATGTCCAATGATCATGATGATGATAATGATGATGATGCCGATGATGCCGATGATGATGATGATGATGATGATGATGATGGATGATGATGATGATGCATGATGATGATGATGATGATGGATGATGAGGAGTTTTTCATGATGGTGCTGATGATGAGGATGATGATAATGGATGATGATGATAATGATGATGATGACAATGCTGATGATGATGATGGATGATGATGATGATGATGATGAGGTGATGATGAGGAATGATGATGGTGATGACGATGATGATGGTGATGCTGATGACTGATGATGATGATAACGATGCTGATGGTAATGTAGAGATGAGATGATGACGGTGATGATGGTGATGATGACGATGATCATGATGATCATGATGATGCTGATGCTGATGCTGATGATGATGATGCTGGGGAGTGATGATGACGATGATGATGATGATGATGCCGATGATGATGATGATGATGATGATGGAGGACGAGGATGATGATGACGCCGATGATGATGATGATCATGGATGATGAGGATGATGATGATGCCGATGATGATGATGATGATGATGATGGTGATGATGATGATGGATGATGCGGATGATGATGATGATGATGATGATGGATGATGCGATGATACTGGATGATGCCTTTTTTGTGAGCCTTTTCACGGAAACAAGGCAGCTGTTGCATCCCCAGCTTCACCAGCATCATCCTGCAGGTGCCTGGGGTGATGCTTTGCATGCTGGGGATTTTTTTGGGAAAAAAGGCAGCTTTTGCATCCCAAGCTTCACCAGCATTTTCCTGCAGGTGCCTGGGGTGATGCTTTGCATGCTGGGGATGCGGGGAGCTGCCTTTTTGGTCTTGGAGACCCGGGAGAAAAGGCAGCTTTTGCATGTCTGCGCGGGATGCAGAACCTGCCTTCTTTGTCTTCGAAAGTTGCTCTCAACCTCGGACCTGATATTGCAGACCATCCCATTGTTTCCTTTCTCTTTCTTGCTTACGGCTTTCGTTGCCTATCTTATCTGGTACACTTGTTTTTATGTTGGGTGATCTTCATTCTGGTACACTTTTCAGTGATCCAATATTTCGAGGAGATCCAGTCCATCTTTATCACACCTTCGAGTTACTTCTGTCTTCTTCTTTCCTCTCTTGTTTTCGATTTTTTCAAAAAACAAACAAGCTACCTCGCGAAATTCAGGGTCCACCTCGCACCTCGTAACCCGCCTTCTCACGGAAAAAAGCATCATCCAGCATCAGCATCCTCATCCTCGTCATCCTCATCATCATCATCATCATCATCAGCACGGTGACCGTCGTCATCATGAAAAAGAAATCAAAAGTGACGTTACGCCCGCCTGCGATGCAAGGGATGCTACGATTACCATAGCATCAGGCGTCAGCCTGCTAAATCCGGCTACGCCTCCTGGGGTAGCATGTCGCCGCTAGGCTATTAGCCTGCTAGCTGTAGCTATAGGGGCTGGTGCCGCCGACCCTCGCCACTTGGTCGTGGCGCGCGGCCTAAATCCGGCACCTCTGCATCACCAGCTCGGGCTTGCGGTTTTGCTTGACTGTGGGAAACCCTCGCGAAACATCGCGTATATGCAGGGTTTAGGCCATGTGGCGGACATCGTCAGGGTCTGGGGTTGGGCCTGGGTGATGCTTCAGCGGGGCTTGGTCTGCATCATCAAGACTTCCTTCCAAAAAGCCTCTCGACCCATGAAGCAGTGATTTTAAGAAGGTATCGGAGGGGTATAAGCGAGGCTCATTTTTGCGCATGTTGGCGCCAAGCGCTGCCGGGCATGCCGGCGATGCTGGGTCCTCACTCTACAAAACGCTGTAAATACCGCCAAAAACTGCTGTGCTGAGCGTTGGGCTGTTGTTCTGTCCGTTTTGCTTTTGCTGTGGCTGGCTCGCGTGCTGCGCGGTCCTTGCTTTTTTCCCGTTGGTTTTCGGGCCTTCTGGCGCGCGCGCGCGTGCCCCCAGCCACAAAACGCTGTTATTTACGGTGTTTTGTTGCATTTGCGTTTCCGGGCTGGCTTGCGGGCTGCTCTTTTTGGGCTGCTTTTTTTGGGTCCGCGCGCGACCCCATGTCAGCCTTCTGGGTTGGGGCCCGGCTGGGGCCCAGAAAGCCGGCATCCCCGGCATTATCTGAGGTTAAGGTGGGCAACATGCAGAACCAAACCAGCCATATCATAGCACAGAATATGTTTCTCATACAAAAAACATGACATGACATGGTATAACTTCAAAGAGGCGTAGCCGGCTAGAGGCCGCAGGCCCAGAAAATACGGAGTTAACACATGTCACGCCAGAAAGGTTGTACTGTTGAAGGCAAATATCAAATCTACACGTATCAAGCTGTCCGGAGCCACCCACAATATCATCAGACAAATTGGGAAAGAAGCAAAGCAAACATGGCCTCACATGGCCAAAAGCAGGTCTCTGCTCACAGCCAAACTTGAATCGCTCTGAGCAATTCAACCTGAAGCTGGAAACAGACTTGGTGAAGGTCAACACGGCAAACAGCCTTAGCTTCAGCTTGGGCTATAAAGCCAATGCAGCACGCCATCTGTTTACTCTCCGCGAGCATGTCCTTGGAATTGTAACGAAGCAAGGTTGGATGCAGAAACTTAATTCAGCGAGTAAAAGCATACAGCTCGATGTGACTAAGCGGAATGTGCAGAATGAGCAACGAAGTGTATCTACGTGTGCGTGTGAACAGATAGAAACGTACCTATCAAGAACTCAAACAAAAAGTGTGCATCCTGATGCTAATACTGGTCATCCTGATCGTACACACAGCGCCCATGCTTTGAAGAGCCAGCAGGGAGAAAAACGTTTCAAGCCTTGGAGGCAGGCTTAGCAGTGTAGGCGTAGATATCCAAGCCTCAATAACTCAGATTCTAGGTGGATCCCTGAACTTTCACGGGATACTAATTCAACAGCGGCCAAACAAGGTATGGCAAGCTCGGGTAGCCCACTATATATATATATATAATGTTGCAAGCAGGGTTTGTTCGAACTCAATGTAATGGTATTAGTGGTACAAGGTCGCTACCTCTTCAAAGACAAGCTGCTGATTCAACGAATCAGCATACGCCAAGCTGGTCAGGATGCCGAGGCACAGCTTCAGTGTGCTTCTGAAGGATTCCCATCCTGGGCAAACTCAACACCGCAACACTAAGGGGCATCGCAATTTGGGGCCCCTCCAAACCGTTGCCTTCATCCTCGTTTGTTTTCAACCACTGAAAGATGCGCCAGGCTTGAGGCGCAATGCATATCCAGCTCGACGGCGCGGGGGAGCCTGGTAGCCTGGTATCTCACGCTGGGATTCTGTATCTCATGAAGCTGAAGCGTTTTGTGTTCTGTGCAAGCTGAAGCCTTCCCTCAAGCTACACTTGGCTCACGGGTAGCTCGTAGCAATGGAGCCATCTCGGATACCGCCTTGAGGGATTGCAGTTCTTCCCCCATAGATGCGAGGGACCCACTGTTTGTTGGTTTGGACCCACCAAATCTATGTGATATGCCATATCAAGCCCCAACCTCCCGCGACAATTTCTAAGGAAGCTTCAGCTCACCCCAGGCCATCACCGGATACCGCTGTGCCAGCATCGTGGCAGCTTCATCCACCTCCACAGTCCTTGATGGCCCAAAAGCAAAACAAATTTCCGACTCTGCTTGTAGAATCGGGGTCGCTTTGCCCTTGTTTCCGCTGCTTGGCACCATTGCTGACTTGGGAAATTGAGAGCCCGTAGGCGCAGGGCCTTCCAGCTCTATGCTTGATGCCATGAGAGGGTAGCTCATCCGCTTCTCGCATGTCATATTCAGCTACGCCACTGCAGCCCGGCAGGATCCTTCACGGTGAAGCTCAGGCTGTGCAGGGGCAGGAAGTCATCAGGCGGCACCTCGAAGAGGGCAGCAATTGGGAAGGGTATGTTCATCAAGTTGAAAGTGTCCACTTGAAATCATTGAACAAGTAGGTGCTTGCTCAGGTTGTGCAGCCCCATGTCTCATCTTGAATGGTCAACAAGCCTTGTACCACTGCTCCAATGAGACGGAGAGAGAATAGAAACGGAGAAACCAAGAAAGCAATTAAAAAAAGACGAAAGGAAGGAAGGAAGGAAGGAAGGAAGGAAGGAAGGAAGCAAGCAAGCAAGCAAGCAAGCAAGCAAGCAAGCAAGCAAGCAAGAAAGGAATGAAGGAATGAAGGAAGGAAGGAAGGAAGGAAGGAAGGAAAGAAGGAAGGAATGAAGGAAGCAACCAAGAAACAAAGGAAGGAAGCAAGGAGGGCGGGAGGGAGGGAAGGAGGGAGGGGGGGAATGGGGAGTGTGAGCAACTCATGCTCCTTTGGTAATCAACATGCATGTGCTACGCTAAATGTGTGAGGCATAGTTTGATCACACCCTTCGAAAAACTGAACCAAAGGAATGGTGTTTGGCCGTTGGCACCCAAGAGTGCAATGTTGAACGTACAGATTTCAAGAACCTTGTTGAAAAGCTGTCCAAAGGAGAGCAAAGTTGAGAAGTCAGGAGACAAATCAGTTGTCATCAATGACAACGGGCGGTCCAGCTGCCAAAATTATGACCCTACTTATTGCTGGCATCAAATAACTGTCAGTTCCTGTTTATTCTTCATTCAAGCCAAGAGAAGTCTCCCAGTCCCCTCAGCACCTTCGGTCCTCCCGTGAGGCCCCCGCCCCTTTGCAGAGCACTGAGTTGTCAGGGTTCCGCATCAGCGGCAGCAACTCCACGAAGGGGTTCCCCGGCTGGCGCTGCACCCGCTGCGACAAGGAGCCTGGAGAAACACAGTGAGTGCTGGCGTGCCGGGCACGCATTGTTAACATATGAATGCTGGGAATCAAAATACAGGTCCGGTGCTTTCCAAAAGAACTCTTTAAGGACCTTTGACAAGACATCCACCAATCAAAGGGCTGACTGACTTTTGAAACACACCCAATTTTGTACTTGCGCTTGAAGTTTTGGCTTCACACATCCCACCTACAGCCCTGGCCGCTCCGTGCGAGATAGACTTTATGTCTGACCAACGAGGCCAAGATGGCCAAGATGGCGAGCGTTCCTCACGTGCAATGTTCACGTCAAACAATATGAATCTAGTCGGCCAACGTCTCGCCTCATCAATGTATTCATTGAGCATCTGCCAGTGAGATGCCGAAATTGCAAATCATCCTGAGAGACCAGCAGTATACGACGTCTAGCTGTGATTGATGGGGGCGAATGACGCCAGTGCACATCCTTTCAAATATCAAGCGCTATGGTACACGATGGTACAGTCTGACAAGGTACAGTCTCATTGTGAACCAAACACTTGTCGGAGGCTTCTCAGGCGGTTGATTGATTTGATTGAGGGGGGATGGCTCCTATTCTTGGTGAAGTATATGGTGTGTGTGTGTGTGTGTCCCCTTGGAATCTTAGTTGAATCGAACTGCGGGTGGGCTGCTTCCAGCAACTGCCGGCTTGGTGCGGGATGTCCCTTGCAGCTTCAATGTGCCAAAGACTGAGAACTACAAAACGGTCGGTCGAACACCAACGCAAAAGGAAGATGACAATTTGTTCTACCAGTCGAACTTCTGAATTGCTCAGCTAATCAATGGCCTTGGGACCTCGGCCCTCGCTTCTCTGCGGCAGTCGTTAACAACCCCACAACTCGAAATTGAAGGATGGCCGAAGCAAAAAACACGCACTTGATTCAGCGCCCAGCTCTAAGACAGCAGTTCGCTCCGGGCCAATGAGCCTGGGTGCCCCCTGGTGCCCCCTTGGAGTGGTTGACCTTCTGTTTCTTCACGCGCGGAGTCTTCGAAGATCGGAGGCCATCCCCCAGTCCCCGCCTTCAATCACCGCCATGTCTTGCAGCTGTCGCGCCACGTCCAAGCACAGCTCCACCAGCGGAGCCTTAGCGCGCCCACTCAAATTCACAAGGTACCCCAAAATCCCAAATGGGATGACGTCAACTCTAAAACCAAACTTGAATCGGCTGCGTTTTCAGCAATTGTTGATATGGCTGCAAGGAGATGGTCTCATTGTGCCATCTACTTGTCCCAGGCGTCACTTTCGTGCTGCATATATGCCAATCCCCCAAATCTGACTTCGGCAAATTCCATCCACGTAAAGCGGACCCAGTGGGGAACATCAGCTCATGGCTGGCGCAATATTTCCTGCACAGTGGACCTCTCAACTTCCCCAATGGGTATGTATCAAGCATTGCTGGGACCGATTAAAAGGGAAGTCAGCATGAAACCAACTATTTAGAGGGGTCCCGGGTCTTGACAAGGTACTAGGCCTGTGTACATACTTGGAAGGAAAAGAGAAAACGAAAAGGAGAAAAGAAAGAATAAGAGAAAGATAAATACAGAGAGAGAGAAACTGGGATAGAGAGAGAGAGAGAGCGAGAGAGAGAGTTTAGCGTGAGAGATAGAGAGAGAGAGAGAGAGGAGAGAGACAGCAAGAGAAACAGAGGGAAAGGTAGAGGGAGAGGGAGAGGACACGGGGGAGGGGCAGAGAAAAGAGACTGAGTGAGACACAGAGAGAGAGAGAGAGAGAGCGGGAGAGATGTGCATATGTATATATATATAATATGTATGTATGCTTCTGTAGATGGTTGCTGCCGTGGTCTCAAAAATGAACGACGCAGCCATGCCTCACTCAACAATACTGCAAAGGCTCAGGAATAGCTGCTCCGCAAAGGTAACACTTGGCACGTGCTCCTGTCCTACCCCAAGCTGTTCCTATTCATTTTGGTTCACCTGCGAAACACAAGCAAAGGAGCACACTTGTGTGTATACATATATGGCACGCGGGCACCGCGCACACACACACACGCACACCGGATGAATTAGATGGAACTGAGGATCATTATTTGAACTTTGTGGACTTGTCGCCGAAGTACACACACACACAAACGCACGCAGGCAGGCACGCACGACCGCACGCACACGCATGTGCGCTCGCAGGCATACACACATTGCTTCATACACCGTACACCACATTCCTCCCGCGCGCACGATGGTGCTTGGCACAATGCTGACGACATGATCAAGTCCGATAGAACAGGCTGCCTTACAAAAAGCCGCGCTATATACGCTTCAAGCTTGACCTTGTTAGAGGTAGTGCGAATGCTGCTGATTGAGGGGATATTCCAACCTTTGTTGCTTTGACCCACGGCTGCGTTGCCACCACGCAAACGTCGCGACAGTCAAACCACTGAACGATTGTATCTCACTTGCCATGGGAAGCAAAACCACAGGCCCTGCTTTCACCCCTTCTCTTCGCCCAAGTCTCCAAAGAAGTTGCCTCCAGGGCAGCGCTTGAAAGCCTGCCCCCCGGAGTGGTTTGCAGCGGGAAACTAATCAGCGCTGGCAACTCAGGACTGCTTTCTCTCAAACCCCGAGTGCTTTTTCCAAAGAGTGCCGTCACAGCACTGCTTGCATTGCCTGCTTGTCCAGCGGTTATGACCTTTCAACATGAAACAAGGAAGGTGCCATTGCCAGTTGTCTGCCAACTGAAGGCTCGAAACTTCAGCCGCCATCTGGCAATTCCACCAAGACCTGGACCGGCAAACTTGAACCGGTGTCTCCCCAAACAGGCGAAAGATCAGTGAGCCCCTTCAACGTCACCGTCATGATACGCGAGTTCTGCCTTCTTTCACTTCCGCGAATGGCTTGCCGTGCTCGCATTGTCAGATGTCAGATGTGTGGCTCCACACAAACATTCATCGACATCTCAGAACCTTGGGTATTCTGAGACTGGGCTTGCAGCCAAAGCCAGCCAAGCTCTGCCATGAATGTTGCGCCTTCTGGCCAGGTCGCCCAACTGAGAAGCCTGATGCGTATGAGGCGAGGGGCTAGATTCAAAGTGACTACATCGCTTGCAGACCTGACGGAATCAACCCTGTGTGTCCGTTTCGATGCAGCCGGAGCTCTTCTAGTGATTCGTGTTGCTTCAACAATCCTGTTCTGGGTTCATGGACCAACCCGATGACTATAATTTCTTGGCCGTGGCTTTTGTAAAAGCTGTTCTTGTCTTGTTTTGCCAGGCAGTCTCTTTGGCTAGTTTCAAACGTGTATTTTCCAATGCTGCACAGGGTAGGAGGTATGCTTTCCGAGCCTGTCAAACCTTTAAACGCTTTCTGCAGCAAGCAAATTGTCTTTCTGGCTTTGGCATTGCCGGCAATAGCTTTGGCAATTCAATGGTTTATTTGTTAGATGTCGGGGAGGGATGTCTTGAATTGGGTGGACACCGAACCCCCCCAAACAGAGGTTCTTACTAGACGACACCCAGGAAGGCTCACTTTTAGTGACTCTTCTTCCTCTTTATCAGGGCGTATGAGTTCAGGATTGGCATGCTCGGACCACTGGAGCCTTGGCCTGCGCAACCCATAGTAGTCCTGATCAGGTTGACCGACTACTTGCACCACCAGGTGTTTGGCAGCTGCCATGTGATGTTCCTGCGAGTGAATGTAGGAAGGTCAAAACTCTGCTAGCACAGGTGTAAGCAGGATTCATTCCGTGTTAGTTGGTGACGGTTGTGGTGATGATGAACATGATCATGATGATGATGATGATGATGATGATGATGATGATGATGATGATGAGAGGAGGAGGAGGAGGAGGAGGAGGAGGAGGAGGAGGAGGAGGAGGAGGAGGACAACAACGGCGACGACCATGGCGTGCAAGTGGTACTGGTGGTGGCAATTGCTGCCGCAGCGGTTGTGACTCGTGCCTGTTGTTTTGATATTAACGTGTCGGGTTTCCAAGTCCCCTCCTGGACTGTCGGTCGAATGCACGCCTCTGCAGCTGCCATTGCCATCAACTCACTGCTGATAAACAAAATTCCACACCAACACTGGTTTGCAAAAATCTCATGCACATGGCATCGGGACAGGACACGCGGTTGGCTACTGTAGGCCACAGGGGTACTGGCTGAACGTTTCATGAAAAAAGTGCGCTCGGCAGCCAGCTGTCGTGAATGGGGCATTTGGGATGTTCCAATAGTCTGCCTCCTTAAAGTTTGCAAATCATGATTTCGGAAGTTGCTTCTCCCAGCCCTTGAAGGGGTCGGATCCCTGCTCCCACCCGCAACTTGCTGCGATACCCAGGAGGGGTTCTGATTGATCAAGAAAGAACCATTCCGTGCTTCCATCCTACCCAAGGCGGTGGCCTGTTTGCTGCGGATGTTGGGCCCTGCGGTCAAAACCACTCGAAGGTCAAAAGACCGTTTGAGCAAGACCGGAACGAGCATTGCAAGCCGGCATACAAACAAAAAGGCAATGCTCTCGCTTGCCGAGTGGAGCCGAAATGCCGTCTAAACTAGTTGCTTCCAAGGTCATCTTCCAGAACGGTAAGTCCAAAAAGTGGCAGAACGATTCCGAGTCTTGAAACATGAATGTCACAATTCCCTTCGTGCCAGCTAGCCCACGAGATAGCTTCAGGATGTTGCTGCCAGGTCATGAGGTTCTAATTTTGCATAGCGCTTGACGGCATGAGACATACACCTGAATCCAACAAAGGCACAAGTCAAAGGCAATGAGACACATCCCGCCAAGTTCAAGCCACAAACATACACACGCGTCGGGCATTCCCTGGCGAGGTTTCACATACAGGTCCTTGAAGATAGCTGGTTCCTTGAATGGCTCAAGGACTTAAAAGGTTCTCAGAAAAAGGTTCATCCTCGCCAGTGTTCTTCTTTGGGTTCCTGAGAATCCGAGCGCCCTTCTCACTGGCCAGCACGCACTGGGCTCCCCGCATCGGCCACTGGTATGCAGCCAAACCTATCCCCAAATGAACCACATTCAGGACAGTCAAAACTCCAGTGGAGGATGGTCATGGTTCTGTAAAGAGAAACCATCAGAAACAATAAGCGGGACATGGTGGATTTAGGCGGAAGGGCTGTTTGTTTTGCTAGGTTCGGCGCTGCGTTTTTTTTCCCTAGGTTCGGCGCGGTGGTCCGGAACCAGAAAAGCTGCAAAGGGTTTACCTTTTCGAAGAAGCGAATTTCCAAAACGCAGCAAAGTCCGCAGAGAGTTCACTTGTTCAAAGACGCGGGGTTGGTTTGGGGCTGGTGTAGGGCTGGTTTCCGGTTGGCTAGGTTGGTTTGGAGGTGGCTTAGGGCTGGTTTATCGTTGATTTAGGGCTCTTTTAGGGTTGGTTTAGGTTGGTTTAGGACTTGGTTTGGACTTGGTTTAGGGTTGGTTTAGGGTTGGTTTAGGGGTTGGTTTAGGGTTGGTGTAGGGTTGGTTAGGGTGGTTTAGGGCTGGTTTAGGGCTGGTTGATGGTTGACTTAGGGTTGGTGTAGGGTTTGGCTTAGGTTTGGCTTAGGGTTTGTTCAGGGTGGTTTAGGGTTGGTTTAGGGTTGGTTTAAGGCTGGTTTAGTAGGGTTGGCAGAGGCAGTCAAAATGCCCAGTCACACCCAGCCTTCCCGAAGCACCGACGGTGACTTTGTGTCAATGCTCTCGCCCCTCGCTCCTTGCCTTTAGCTGGAAGCGCCGCCGCCCCGAGCCGAAAGCTGAGAACAAGGGACCTGATATCCCCTCTCCGCTTGAAATGACAAATCTGGGAATATTCGAAAATATTCTGGGAAGCTGTCAGGAAGTGGGGTTGTAAACTGCTGACGGATTGTGCCAGGACAGAGATCGCAGCTCCAGCAATGCATTGCAATGGGAACACGCGGTCTCTAGGGAGTAGCATGTGAAAATGTCTAAGGCTCCTTCGAAGCGATGTATCAACTATAGCGGAAGCCTTGCGCACATGCTGTGTTTCCCAACAATCTGGAGACATCTACCTGAAGAGGCACACTGACCCAGATCTTCAAGAAAATCAGAAAGCACGCGTGTACAAAATTAGGACACT